CCTCCGCTCCAGTACCAACGGATCTGATGCCCTCTTCTGGTCTCTGCTGGCACCAGGCATGCCCGTGGTGCACAGACACGCAAGCAGGCAAAACACCCATCCACAGAAAAAAAGGGGGGAAAGATTTTGGTTTTAATTGTTTGTCTATGCATGTGGGTGGTGGTGCCTTGGATGCCAAAGAGAGTGAGAGATTGCTACAGCTGTATCCACCTGCTTCTGCCTCCTGAGTGCTGGAATTAAAGGCGTGGGTGCCACAACTCTCTTGTGTGTGTGTGCACGCGTGTGCGTATGCGTGTTTTTTTTTTTTTTTTTTTTTGGTTTTTTGAGACAGGGTTTCTCTGTGGCTTTGGAGGCTGTCCTGGAACTAGCTCTTGTAGACCAGGCTGGTCTCGAACTCACAGAGATCCGCCACCTGCCTCTGCCTCCCGTGCGTATTGGTCTTTAGAGACAGGGTTTCTTAGTGTAACAACCCTAGCTGTCCTGAAACCTGCTTTGTAGATCAGCCTGGCCTTGAGATGCGCCTGCCTCTGCCTTCTGAGTGCAGGAATTCAAGGCTTGTGTAAGACCATGTGGCTACTTCATACTTTATTTTATTTTATTTTTTGGTTTTTCAAGACAGGGTTTCTCTGTGTAGCTTTGGAGCCTATCCTGGCACTCGCTCTGGAGACCAGGCTGGCCTCGAACTCACAGCTATCCCCCTGCCTCTGCCTCCCGAGTGCTGGGATTAAAGGCATGCGCCACCAACACCCGAGGCTACTTCATACTTTTTTAAAAAACAGTTTTGTGATGGGGTTCGGGAGCCCAAAGTTTAAAATCTATCAAAAGCCAAACCTAGCAGTCCCTAGTCTAATAAGGCAAGAGGGGAACACCTGGGTGATTAGAGCTGTAGATTCCTAAATTCAGTCTCCAGGGAACAGGAGAGAGAACACGGAAAAAGGTGCTTGCACTAAGCTTGAGGCCTGAGTTCAGTCCCCAGGACCCACACCGTAGAAGGAGAGACTGAATTCCCTCAAATTACTATCTAACTACTACCTAGATATTGTAACCCTTGCCCTCACCCTCTGCAGTTTCTTTTTTGTTTTGTTTTGAGACAAGGTTTATCCACATAGCCCTGGCTGTCTTAGAACTCACTCTGTAGACCATACTGGTCTGGAACCCAGAGATCCACCTGCCTCTGCTTCCTGAGTGCTGGGATCAAAGGCCGTGTGCCATCACTGCCCAGCTCCACCCCAGGTTTATAAAAATAAAATAAAAAATAAATGTCTATGTGGATTCTGAGAAATATTTGTGATCCTATCCTAGCCAGACAAGCCATGTTGGAGGACCTAGGAGGCAGTTCTGGATCTTTCCCGCACCTCCTGAGGTTCTCAAGGTTTCAGGCAAACGCAGCCTGCAGTGTCTTCCTCCTTCACCTATCCCCCCCCCAGCCCACCAAGCATATCAACCAAGTTCAAAGACTGCAGACACCAGGATCTCAAACCCAACTCTAAAACTCTTTATTCGCCAGAGCTCCACCTATCCATCCATACATCCTCACCCCATCTCCAAGCCCAACTCCTAAATAACTTAAAATCCTACTGGAGTTCTTCTTTGACCCTAAAATTAACATCTAAGCAGCCACCATGTTCCCACTGGGTCTCTGACTCTTTGGCTGCGGGACTCACATTGACTTAACGAAACACTCAAGTAACAAGACTGGAGGTGGCAGATGAATCTCTCACTGGGAGAAGGATCCATCAGTGATGGGTTTGGGGGCAGGAGGAAGTGAGATGGGGTCGGTGATAAAGTAGGGGGAGCTGTGGGCTTCAGCTCACTTGAGGCAGCCTGAAGCTACAAAGGCCCTGCAGCCTTCCAAGAGGGTTCTGACCCTCCTGCAGTTCCTGCTGGACTGGCATGTTCAAGGAACTGAGGGCTGAACTTGAATGGTCCCGTGGAGAAACCCGAGTCTGCAGACGCTGAGGAAGATGAAGATAAATGGTCTCACAGTCAGTATGAACATCAAGTCCTTAGTAGTGGCGGTCCCAGTCAGTCTCTGGCACTGTTCCAGGATTCTGACAACTGACACACTGGGATTCTGTAGGGTGGAGAGTCCAAGGGTTTCCCCCAAGGGATCTTCACCAGGGATCTGAGAAGTCAACAAGGCTAGCTTGGTTGTCATCAGCAGAGCCTCACAATCCAAAAGAAGCCACCAAGATGCACCGTCCATGGAGAACAGCTCTCACAGCGTCAGGAATCTCTGAGACAGGTGGACTGGGCTGCCTGCAACCCCCAATGTCTCAGGATCCTAAAGATTTAGAGAACAGTGGGATCTAGGAACCCCCATAGGGCTGGGTGAGCAGAGGGGAGGGTACCAGGGTCAGAGGAAGGAGGGTTTGGGAGTGTGGGTGATAGGGGCTTCATGGATCTTACTTAACGCTTGACTTTGCGTCCAGCGGAGTTTCGTACACCTCGACGGTAGAGAGACTGCTGGTTGCTGTTTAGCGGACAGTACTTGAGCGTGTGAGCCTGGTCCCCAGTGGCCCCACACAGAGGACACACATAATGCCTCAGGATGGGACACACCACGACACCTTCAGATGTCTTCAGCTGGTGGGAGGCATAGACGTGACGAGACTCTCCATTGTGTTTGCAGAAGTTGCATAGGGTAGCCAGGCTCCCGTTGACCCCCTGCTCACTCTTCTCCTGCCTGAGGGTAGACACCTCAGCACCCTCATCCTCCAGTCTTTGGCTCCGGCCCTGGATTATCGCCAGTATCACTTGGCTCAGGTTAAAGTAGTCCTTCCACATGTCAAAGGGTGGTAGCTCCATGACACCTCTGTGTGGCTGGTGGCCGTGGGCACTAGGCAGGGCCAGGGGGCCAGGGACTGTGAGGTCAGAGGCCCAGAGCAGCAGGCTGTTGTGGAGCAGAGAGAAGGCACACCCCCTTATAAATACTCCCCTAGAGCCCCCTCTAAGCATAGGTGGGGCTTAGATTTAAAGGGCCCACTTCCAGACCAGGGCTCTTGGCTAGCTCCAATCTCCCAGGGAGACGGGAAAACTGCTTATTTGCAGGTGGCCCCTCCTCCAAGGCACTCTGTGTTTTCTGGACAGGAACTTCTAGTCCGTGGGCCTCAGTTTCCCTCCTGTTCAGTTTAGGGCTTTGCTCGTGTCTCTTGCTCATTCTCCTTTCCTTCTTCCCTCGGAATCATCCAGAACCTTATTTATGATTTGACTGAATGTTTTGGTTTGGTTTGCTTTGGGTTTTGGAGAGAGAGTCTCACTACGCATCCCTGGTTGTCCTGGAACTTGCTACGTAGACCAGGCTGGCCTCAAACTCAGAATCTACCTCCCCAGGTGCCAGGACTAAATAAAGGCGTGCACCATGTCCAGCTTAATTTTTTTTTATTACCTGTATTTACTTAATAGTGGGGGCATGCCACAGCTTACATGTGGGGATCGGAGGACAACTTGCAAGAGGCAGCTCCTTCCCCCAAGTGGATTCCAGGGACCAAACTTGGGTCGTCAAGCTTGGTAGTAGGCCAAGCTGAGCCATCCGCACTGGCCCATGTGGGTTTCTGTTGTGTTTGTTTTTATTTTGAAACAGTGTTATGTCTTGTTACATAGTCCATGACCCTGAATCTCCCATTCTTCAATTCAGGGCCTAGGAACAAGCTTCTGTGTCCTGCTTCAGTCTTGAGAGTCCCGAGTCCTGAGACGACAAACCAGGGCTGGGCAGTCTGCTCAGTGGTAGAGGGCTTTGTCCCCAGGTGGTTTGCTTGTAATCCCCACACTTGGGAGGAGCAACAGTGAGGATCACGAGTTCATAGCCATTGTTAGATACTTGTAGCCAGTTTGAGGCCAGCCTCACCTATAAAAGCTTCTTCCTCAACTGACAGAGGCCAGACAGGGCTCAGCAGTTAAGGGTGTTTAATGCTCTTACGTATGATCCAAGTTTGGTTCCCAGCTCCAAGGTCAGGCAGTACACAACCTCTCTGACCTCTCTGTTACCCGCACTCATGTGCATATAGAGATGCATAATTAAGAATAATAAGCTGGGCATTGGTGGCGCACGCCTTTAATCCCAGCACTGGGGAGGCAGAGGCAGGCAGATCTCTGTGAGTTCGAGGCCAGCCTGGTCTCCAGAGCGAGTGCCAGGACAGCCTCCAAAGCTACACAGAGAAACCCTGTCTCGAAAAACCAAAAAAAAAAAAAAAAAATTAAATAAATAAATAAACAAAACAAAAATTACAGCCCAAATCTAGGATGTATTTCCAGAATTCTCTTTTGAAATTGCTTTTTGAGATGTAGCCTGGGCTAGCCTGGAACTCCTGCCTCACTTCCCAAATATTGGAGGGACTGGCATGAGTCACTGGGCTTATGGACCTAGTATGCTTTTTCTTTCAACATTTGTGTGTGTGTGTCGAATATGGTTGTGTGTTGTATATGTGTGTTTGTATATGTGTGTTGTATTTGTGTGGTGTGTGTTGTATATGTGTGTGTTGTATGTGTGTATATGTTGTATGTGTTGTGTTTCTGTATGTTGTATATGTGTTGTGTGTGTTGTGTATGGTTGTGTGTTGTATATGTGTGTTTTGTGTATGTGTGTGTTGTGTGTTGTATGTGTGTGTTGTACAAGTGTGTGGTATGTGTGTGACGTGGGTTGTATATATGTGTATGTTGTATATGTGTGCATTGTGTGTTATATATATATGTGCGTGTTGTATATTTGTGTGTGTTGTATGCATGTGTATTGTGATGTGTGCGTTGGATGTATGTATGTTGTATGCTGTGTGTTTCTGTATGTTGTACACACATGTGTTGGTCTCTGTTGTATATGCATGTGTGTTGTGTGTGTGTGTGTGTGTGTGTGAATGTGTGTGGGTGCCTGCACTGCAGCACACAGGTCAGAGGACAGCTTTTGGAAGTCAGTTCTCTCTTTCCACCATGTGGGTCCTGAGGACTGACCTCAGGTTGTCGGGCTTGGAGACAAGCGACTTTATCCTCTGGGAGGTCTTCCCTGCGAGGCCTTAACCCTAATGTCTCAATAGCCCTGCATGTGAGGCACACACTGTGACACAGTGACCAAACAGTCTGATTTAACCCTCACAAGTCCATGGGGGGAACACAGCTATGACCCTGTATTACAGACCAATAACCGAGGTTCAGAGAGGGAAATTCATCAGTCCGGATTCACACAGCATGGAAAAAAAACGGGATCCAAACAAGTGTTAACCAGTTCTTACAGTGCTTGGTGCTATACAAACATGATTCTTCGAAGGCCACTGTCAGCCAAGGAGGTGAGGACTCTATTTCTTTCCTGTCACAGAGGATAGGAGGCTCAGACACAAGAGGGAACACAGCCAAGGTGACAAATTGAGGAGATAGCAGAGTTGGGACTGACACCTATGTGGTGTGTGTGTGTGTGTGTGATTTTTTTGTTTCTCCTCTCCAATCCCCTCCTCTCACCTCTAGATAAGGACCAAACCCAGGGCTTTGCTTGCTAGGCAAGCACTCTACCACTGAGCTAAATCCAACCCTCGCTGTGTTCATTTTTGAGGCAAGATCTCACGTAGCCCAGGCTGGCCTTGAACTATGTAGTTGAGGATATCCTTGAACTTCTGACCCTCTTGTCTGTACTTACCAAGGACTGGGGTTACAGGTGTGCACCACCATGCCTGGCATTTGTGATGCTTGGTATGCAACCCACTGTAAGCGGGGCATGGTGGTGTACCCCTTTAATCCCAGCACTCGGGAGACAGAGGCAGGAGGTTCTCCGTGAGTTTAAGGCCAGCCTGGTCTACAGAGAGAGTTCCAGGGCAGTCAGGGTTACACAGAGAAACCTTTTCTCAAAAAACCAAAAATAAATAATAAATAAACAAGCGTAATAAAACTAATTTTAAAGTCTCATTGTAACCAAGCAGGGTGACATGTTGGCAAGCCTAGCTCTCAGAAAGCTTTTGGGTTTGCTGAATTGAGCTACAATTAAGACTAACACAGGAAGCTGAAAACACTATCATTGTCCCATTGTACAGATGAGCAGAGAGAGGCTCCAGAGACGCTGAGGGGTTGGTCAAAAATAAGTGGCTAGCAAAGCCCCAGACCCTGAGTAATCTACAGTTCGTGAACCCCCATATGGAACGTAGTCAAGACAGATGAACAAGGACGTGCTGTAATCCCAGCAGAGGCAGGAGGATTGCTGCAAGTTTAAAGCCAGCCTAGCCTACAGAGCGAGGCACCATCTCAGAACAAGTCAAGAGAATCAGGGGAGCCGGGTGAGGCTTGCCTGGTGTAGGTGCACACTGAGGTACAGGCACTGCCATGAGACTCTGACTTTCCACACAGAATAATGCCACCAATATTTCCACCAGGGACAACCTCCAGGGCAAAAGAGACACACTGGCTGCTGTATGGGAGAGCAAGGCTTCTGTTGAGGGGCCCAGAATAGGCTTTGGATAATACAGCAGAAATGAAAACATGGTTGGGGAGACTGAGGCTGGAGGGTCATGAGTTCTAATCCAGCTTGGACTGCATAGGGAGACATATGTATGAGGGAGAGGCAGGTGGCTCTCTGAGTTTGAAGCCAGAGGTATCTGCAAGGCATTAGGCAGTGTGTGTGTGTGTGTGTGTGTGTGTGTGTGTGTGTGTGTGTCGCTCACGCACACATGTGTGCATATATATGTGTCTCAAAACAAGGAAAAATAGCTCTGATGGTGATTTTTAGGGTCTAAGTTGTTGTGGGTTGGTGAGCCTCCTGTGTGTGGCAGAGCCTGAGCCTTGGCCATGATCACTTCAGTTGAAAGCCTGAGAGCAGGATAAGGACAGGCAGGTTTGCAGAACAGGGTAGTTACTATTGCTATTGTTTGGTCAGCTCATCCCCAGTGCCTGGCCTGCCCACCTTATTTATTTTCCCTGTTTCATGTCTCATCTTGTTACTTAGCTATGGCAGCCTTTCCTCCTGGGCCTCTGGTTGATGTTTATTTGGGGGATGTTTGCAGGCAGCTCTTTAGGTAAACCTAGACTTGGGTGGTATAGAGAGGAAAGAACCGGAGGTGAAACTGACAAGAGGCTGTCTACCCTGGTGTTTACTATGTAGGGTTATGCTACCCAAGCCCTGGCCCTGTAGGGGTCCGCCTCCCTGTTTACTTCTGAGTTGTCTTCAGCCTGACCCCCCCTGGCTAGAAAACAGATGAAGGGGGTTTCAGAAAGGTGGATTGGGGGGGGGCCCCAAACCTTCCCAAGGCAGGTGCTCTTAACTGCTGAGCCATCTCTGCAGCCCCTGCTTAAGCTTTTCTTTAATTCCTTTTCTCAAACTGGAAGCTTATCTCTGTGTGGTCTTGTCCTGAGGTCCTCACTCCCTTTATGCCATTTAGCATTGGTTTTTTTTTTTTTTTTGTAGTTGTTTGTTTTATCTTCTTTAGCATTGGCCTTGGCTCTGTTACATTTCCTGGTGCCTCTTTTCTCTCAAACTGTACATTTTATATTTCTCTTTGTCCAGATTGATCCTTTTTTTTCATTATAGATAGCCTTGAGAGTGACCATTAATACATAGTCAATACTAGGCTGTCTTGAAATCTCCTCTGCCAACACCATTAATCCAAAACTCTTCAAGTTAACCTCAGGCAGACTGTTAGGACCAGGGCAAAAAGCAGCCACATTCTTTACCAAGAATATCACAAAAAATAGTTTCTAGGACACCTATTAATATTCTTTCCCTATGAATCTTCTTGACCTGGTTACCACAGTTCACATCTGTCTCAGCACATGGTCCATACTTCTACTAGGATGGCCTAGTAAGCCCCATGTAAAGTGTCCAACCACTTTTCTTTTTG